TTTTTTTTCTGTCACTGTTATTTTTTTTTTAATTACTCCCCCGCCCCCGCTTAACAACATTTGAAAACTAAAAAGCACACTTGTACTACTCAATCATATGAAATATATTCCGTCAAAATATTCAATACACATACAATAAAAAATAGGCTATCATACTATTTTTATTTTATTTTATTTCCAACATCATCCAACAGCAAAAGGCCTAAATTGCCATCATTAGGTCCACTTTAACATTCTTTTTTAGAAGAAATTTCTGTCGTTTTAGTGTGATCTAATGTGAGGATTACAGGATGTCTTAAAAAGGATACTGTACATATAAATAAAAATATTGCGAAGAGGAACATCCAAGGCTACAAATTGCAGATACAAAAAAACAAATACAAAACAAGTAAATAATTAATTAACTAAATAGCAATGACATATAGGCTATCATACTAGATAAGTACATATAAAAAAGACTGTGTAGCAGAAGTAATTTAACAAATAAAATGAGTTCTCCTAATAATTCATGTTAGTAAGCCAAATATATGCAGCCACGAATTTCCCCGACAGAAATTTCTTCTAAAAAAGAATGTTAAAGTGGACCTAATGATGGCAATTTAGGAATTTGAAAGGCCTATTTAATCGAAACTAATAACAATGTGTACAAAATACATATATAGTACCTACCTCTATACAACTAATGTAATACTTAATTTTGTCACAATTCATCTTAAATGAAATGCATTAAATTATTATTCAGAAAACTGCAATTATATTCATATGTTTAATCTCGGATATAGTTATAGTGTACCATACCTAACCTTAGCGAGTGTATATAAATATAGCTATTTCATGTTAAAGTATTATACAGTATTATTAACACTTCATTTGACTTAGTTCGTCTTTAATATAAACAACAAAAAAGGAACGAATTACAAACCCTTGGCAACGAAATAGGCAAAACACTTTAAAACAAGGGTAACATAAACAATACAAATATTTGAAAGATACAGCAGATAAAGAAAAAAAAATGTACTTAAAAAAAAATTCTGAAAAAATTAACAAATTACAGTACAATCACTTTTATGAATATGAATAATAACCATAGCAACAACAACTATGAAAATGATAATAACTTATAATATTAATAATAAAATTTATATAGTGACTTACGGCGAGAACGAAATTGAAAGATATAGCAGATGAAGAATAAAGAAAATGTACATAAAAAAAATTCTGAAAAAAATTAACAAATTACAGTCCAATATCACTTTAATGACTATGAATAAAAACCAGAGCAACAACAACTATGAAAATGATAATAATAATTTATAATAATATTAATAATAAATTTATATAGTGACTTACGCTAAGAATGGCCCAAAGTGCTTAATAATGATTAAAACGTTGTATAACTAGTCTGCTCTAGGCCTGTTTCCACCTGGCTCATAGCCACCCAACATTTTGGCCACCCGGCCTTGTTCAAGATATTAAGTAAAATATGAAATAAAAACATTGGACATACAACTTCATACTAACTTGAATTATTTAGTACACAAGCTTTCACCAGCAGTCTATGCATGGCTTCATCAGGTGTAGTGATATGCAAAATATATGATTATGTACAGTAGCACTCTGAAATGTGGAACGTATGACCATGGTGTGACAACCCAATATCCTGAACAAGCCCTTGTCGAAGTCACGGTATAAACAGTCGGAATGAAATAAACTTTTACATTCAAGCTAATAAACTAACTAATTAGCTTATTCATAATCATTAATTACTAGCCCAATAATCTTTCTATTTTCACACTAAAGATAAGAGATTAATTAGTTTTATCTAGATCTACCAAAATATTTCCTAAAGTTTATATGGACATTATTTTTCATGAGAAAATATAATAATAGATCATTCTTAAACCCAATAAGTGGGATAATCTTCAATTAAGGTTAATTAATAATGTTTTTGAAATAACCACCATTACACACATAACAGGCTGCCATCCACAAACAAAAAAATTTTTTTTTTTTTTTGTAAAATCACCGGCCATTGTTATCTGCGGTTCTGAGGTTTATTTTTTATACCGGAATAATAAAACTAGAGAACTACAATATAACCCTCTTGGGCTTATGTGAGGTTTTAATACCTGAGACAACTATACATGTGTACAGTGGTCTCAGTTTAATATATAATTAGTAAACAACATAATATTAATAAAACTAAACACCACTACATTTATTACAATTTTTGTTACAGTATTAATTAGGACTAACGTCACCATCCAAATACAAAAATATAAAAATATATGCATCTGAAATAACAAATCCGTTTAGAAATCAGTATAATCGCACCTGTCTCTTATACACATTTTAGTGTGATCTCATGTGAACATTTTCATCCTGCATTGTTTTTCTGTCACTGTTATTTTTTTTTTAAATTACTCCCCCGCCCCCGCTTAACAACATTTGAAAACTAAAAAGCACACTTGTACTACTCAATCATATGAAATATATTCCGTCAAAATATTCAATACACATACAATGAAAAATAGGCTATCATACTATTTTTATTTTATTTTTATTTTATTTCCAACATCATCCAACAGCAAAAGGCCAATTACAGGATGTCTTAAAAAGGATACTGTACATATAAATAAAAATATTGCGAAGAGGAACATCCAAGGCTACAAATTGCAGATACAAAAGATATAAAAAAACAAATACAAAACAAGTAAATAATTAATTAACTAAATAGCAATGACATATAGGCTATCATACTAGATAAGTACATATAAAAAAGACTGTGTAGCAGAAGTAATTTAACAAATAAAATGAGTTCTCCTAATAATTCATGTTAGTAAGCCAAATATATGCAGCCACGAATTTCCCCGACAGAAATTTCTTCTAAAAAAGAATGTTAAAGTGGACCTAATGATGGCAATTTAGGAATTTGAAAGGCCTATTTAATCGAAACTAATAACAATGTGTACAAAATACATATATAGTACCTACCTCTATACAACTAATGTACTACTTAATTTTGTCACAATTCATCTTAAATGAAATGCATTAAATTGTTATTCAGAAAACTGCAATTATATTCATATGTTTAATCTCGGATATAGTTATAGTGTACCATACCTAACCTTAGCGAGTGTATATAAATATAGCTATTTCATGTTAAAGTATTATACAGTAATTATTAACACTTCATTTGACTTAGTTCGTCTTTAATATAAACAACAAATAAGGAACGAATTACAAACCATTGGAAACGAAATAGGCAAAACACTTTAAAACAAGGGTAATATAAACAATACAAATATTTGAAAGATACAGCAGATAAAGAAAAAAAAATCTGAAAAAATTAACAAATTACAGTACAATCACTTTTATGAATATGAATAATAACCACAGCAACAACAACTATGAAAATGATAATAAATTATAATATTAATAATTAAATTTATATAGTGACTTACGGCTAAAACAAAAAAGAAAGATATAGCAGATGAAGCCCTTGTCGAAGTCACGGTATAAACAGTCGGAATGAAATAAACTTTTACATTCAAGCTAATTAACTAACTAATTAGCTTATCCATGATCATTAATTACTAGCCCAATAGTCTTTCTATTTTCACACTAAAGATAAGAGATTAATTAGTTTTATCTAGATCTACCAAAATATTTCCTAAAGTTTATTATGGACATTATTTTTCATGAGAAAATATAATAATAGATCATTCTTAAACCCAATAAGTGGGATAATCTTCAATTAAGGTTAATTAATAATGTTTTTGAAATAACCACCATTACACACATAACAGGCTGCCATCCACAAACAAAAAAATTATTTTTTTTTGTGTGTAAAATCACCGGCCATTGTTATCTGTGGTTTATCTGAGGTTTATTTTTTATACCGGAATAATAAAACTAGATAACTATAATATATAACCCTCTTGGGCTTATGTGAGGTTTTAATATCTGTGACAACTATACATGTGTACAGTGGTCTCAGTTTAATATATAATTAGTAAACAACATAATATTAATAAAACTAAACACCACTACATTTATTACAATTTTTGTTACAGTATTAATTAGGACTAACGTCACCATCCAAATACAAAAATATAAAAATATATGCATCTGAAATAACAAATCCGTTTAGAAATCAGTATAATCGCACCATTACCCAGAGGTGGCAAAAGGCTGGTTGGCAACGAGCCTATGTGGCAAAGGGACAGGTGACAACGGGCCTAAAGTGGCAACTAAAATAGGCCGAATTTTGCTTTTTTATATACAAAACACACACAAGAAAGTGGAAAATAAAAACATGTATACAAGTTATTGTCACAGTGACCAACTTAATTGGTGTGCTATTCTACCAAGAAGGGTAAACTATGATCTTCATGTCCATTACCTTCTGACAACAATAGGACTTAAATTATCAAAAAAGAAAACAAAGATTTTTATCATAAATATTTCTACCATATCAAATTAATTTCAAGTAAATGATATTCTAGTTGATTAAGTTGTCTTTATATAAATTGTTTTTATATAAATCAGGAAGCCACTGTATCAGACCCTGGTTGACCCTTTCTTTATATTCTAAAAAGTTCATCTTTAATGTAATGCAAAGTATCCAAGGTACTTCTTTTTTTTTTTTTAACTACAAATGAAACTACAAAACCTTTGAAAAGCAAACCATATTTTGAATTACTCATTTGTGGTTACATAATACAGTAAAAATTGCCAGATTGTTAGATAAAGCATGTAGTAGTCACTGTACTACCACTGATCAAAATGTTTTCATATTACCGTATATGTACAGCAATAACTTAGCCAGCAAGCCATCCGGCCGTCTTTTGGATGGCCAGTAATTATTTAGGACGGCCACTTTTTCCGTGACGGCTTGGAAGGCTTGGCCTACTAAGGTCGGCCTAGCCTATTGGGCCTTCTCTACATTAGTAAATTCTTTATATTCTTCGAATCTATCAAATGTTGCATTAAACTAAAGCATATATTTTGGATAGACTATTTCGTTTTTCTGGCTAAACACCTGATGTGCAGGAGGATACAGTAACTGTGTATAGGTCTATGCCATTTAATTTACGAATGCACTTTTTCTCATTTCTAACTTTAAATTGATATGCACTAAGCTACTATATTATGTAAAGTAAGCAATCTAAATATTGAATTCAATTTTTCAAGTTTTTATAATAATCATCTTGAAACAATACATCTTTTCAGTTTGCATACCTTAATGAGTGACATTAATAGACTTCTTCTGCAAGTTAGTATATGCTGAGTCTACTGTCATGTATGTGTGTGGCTCTTCGTAAGCTGAATCATCCGCTGCAGCATCACCAGTAGCAACACCATCACCACCACCATTCTGACCACCAATGTTTGACAATGTGTTTTCATTCTTTGTATTACTTCTTTTTGTTGTTTCAGGTAATTTAACACCATCATAATCAGTCATACTTATCATCGTGGGATGCTTCACCTTCTTGTTCTTCTGAGAGTAATAGAATCTAAATTATTAACAAAAACAAAATGTCGTAATATAACAAAAATGTTATAAAATTTTCATAAAAATTACTTTATGTAATGACAGTTCTAATGTTTCTAGTGTTGATTGTATCTATTTAATAATAATAATAATAATAATAATAATAATAATAATAATTGCGGAGCGGAGATGATGAGATGCAGATATGATGGTTGGAGAAATAAAAGTGTCTTAAATGTTTATGGGACAGCCAATGGACGGTTTTAAGTACGGGACTAATATGGTCTCAGGGTTAAAGTACATATGCCGGTAGCAGAATTTTTATTTTTATTTTAGCCAAGACAAACTAAAGTACAAAACATTCAAATCAAAATAATAAAGAAAAGACCAAACAGGTGCGGAACACCTATATTAAGTTGGTCAACAACAAACAAACAACTTAAGAAAACCGGTAAAGGGGAGAGGTGAACAGAACAAAGAGAAGATAACTGCAATAACAAAGTGTAGTAGAAATTAATCGGTAGATTTGCGAATACAACTAATGTGCTGGTCAAATGTTACAGACTGATCTAATACAAAACCAATATTTTTTAACAGATGAAGCTGATTTAATTTGTACAGTTTCATACATAGAAAGGGGCACCCTTTAAATTAGTTTAATAACTTCAGCATAGCACCAAAATAATATTTCAAAATCACCTTTTATTTAAGCAAAGTTGCATAATATGCATAATATAATATTTTTATGAAGAGGCTAGAAACTGAAATACTATATCATGGAAAAATGATTTTCACAGCATACTGCCGTAAATTAAATGATTTTTTGTATGTGTAATTATAAACAGTTTACGTTTTAAAAGTGTTTTTTTCAATTAAACTAATTATAACAATAAAAAATGATGGACGATGGAAGGTGGATAATAATTATACTGTAATAATAATAATAATAATTATAATGATAATAATGATAAAAATGTTGATAATAAACAACAACAATAATAATAATAATAATAATAATAGTAATAATAATAATAATAATAATAATTGTCATTAGAGTAGAAGAGCAATAAATTTCAGATATTGTACATATACAAAAAAATCACCTGCAAAAGAAGATGAATGGTGGAAACATGACCAGGATGACAACACAAAGAATTACTATCGCTATCAGGTTACAAGGTACTGATGGTGCTAAAGTTTAAAATAGTAAATAAATTATATCATTATTAATCAAATATTATATTTGTGGAAAATAAATACAAAATATATACATAAATAAGAGCAAGTACTGCAACAAAATTATTCCTAATAAGTTTAGTAACTTTCATTACTAGTTGATCTACATGTCAGTGTCAGTGCCGAGGGGCAGATTGAGGGAGGCATACGCAGCGCACCTTACTTTTTCCAAAAAAAAAAAAAGCCCCAGATGTGGATTTACAGGTGGCACATCTCCTCCCGCTAATTTTGATTGTAAAATTTTTTTGATGTTAACTTGATGCTGGCGCTTAACCAATCATGTTTCAGTAGATGAACTGCATACAGTTTAAGCGCCATTTAAATAATATGAAGATATATGGCAGGTAGTGTTGGTAAAATTCTTGCCTAGTCTAATTAAGATTTGACTTACCGTGTCAAAGAAGCGTAAAAACAGTGTATTTTATTCAATTCTCAACTCAAGGAGGGCAAGGATAACCCGTAAAATTTAAAAATGCCAAAACATACAAACAACATAGTACATTTTTCTCAATTTCTTTTACATGTCAATACTGAACTCTCACACATAAACTGCATTAAATTCAGAGGATCTCACTCAAGACTCATACATCATAAACTTCAAAAATCATACGCATATCTATGAATGTTGAGTAGAATTCTCTTATCGATTCAAAAACAGATGTTTAGTAGAATTTTGGGTGAGTGTGGAACTAAAATTTCAAAAAATTCTTTATTTATCCCACCTGGGGAAATTTCAAACAGGACTGAATAACAGTAAATAACAACGGAATAAAAACTAAAAATCTACTTAAGAAACCCATTTATATAACATGTAAATCAACAAAGCTATTTTTATCTACTTTTATTTAATAGCCTTACACCAGTTGTGACAAAAGAATTTAATTTCCGTTTCGTCCTACACATACTCACAGGACTCCAATATCGGAGACAATGTGGCAGAAGTTCAAATTCATAATAAAGGGCATGTTCTATTGTACCTAAAATTTGTCTGTCAGAAGGATGAGAGACTGCGTAATGGAATTCCTATTATTTTCGAGCATGAATTTACTATTATCTGTAGAGAAGATCTAAATAATACAGATCTGTGGCAAGTATGCCCGTCACCAAGGAGGTTTTGGGGGTTTGGCCTAACCCCCTTCTTGACAAGTTACTACTGTAGTAGTATTTTATCATAACTTTGTTTATTAAACACTTTTGAATTAAACTTGTCCTATAGAAACCTCCTTCCCATGAACCTGGTTACAGGCCTGAGTATACTTTCTTTCTTGTTCATACATTTTTCCATTCCCATGTTCAATCGTCCTGTGCTAAACTTGATATGTTGGCCAAAAAGAATTTGTGGAATGAACATGGTAAACCATCCAATTCCAGAAGAGAGATATAAATGGGTTGTGAGTCATGACAGGCAAGGGTGAAGGGTAAAAGAGTACCCAGAATATCACAACAATAACACAAATTGTCATAAAGATGCAGTTAACTGGACATTCAGTTAAACTTACACCCTCATTTGCATATCATGAATATTCATAAATCTTCATTCCAATCGATCTTCTATACAATGCTATTGTTAAGATCATAACTTTAGATAAACAATCAGTAGGCCTATGTCATTATATGTTTATTGTTGCCAACTCAATCAATTGTACACATGCTTATTAAAATAAAGCATAATATAATATAATATTATCATTCCTGATGATGACATAATTAATGTCGAAATATTGAATCCCAACACAATGGCGTGCATTTCAATACTTGGAGTATGTATTATACTTTCTTATAATATAGTATATTATGCTTTTTAAATACCAAACTTAGCTTATGCTGGTAAAGCAAGTGACAAGGCCAAAAGAGGTTAGTTTTAAAAGTGGTCCCGTGTGAAAGCGAGACTATTTAAAATCAAAACTTATCTATTAATCTTAAACTATGTGTGACTACAATATGTAATGGCTATATACCAACACCACATTCGCAAAACACATTAACAATATACCACAATATCAACTTAAATGCAGCTTCAATCAGAAATCAGTGCTAATATATTTGTCATTTGCACATTAAAAGGTGAATGAGATGGAAAAGCTCTCGGCCATAGTATTGATAAAATTATATGCATATACTGTATATAACAAAAAACAATATTTATATAGCTAAGCATAAGTGAAAAACGTTCTTACTTGACTCATTCGTTGTTATACTTAATTCTTTGCTTTCTCCATCACCCTTGGAATTGAAACCTTTTACACTGAAAATGTATTCAGTAAATGGAATAAGGTTGTCAACTTCCCACTGACGCTCACTTGTCTCACTAGTGATAAGTTCTTGGCCATCTGCATTTTGCAAGCTGAATTTGTAGCCTCTGATGAGACCTCTTTTATAGCCACATTCTATTTCAGACCATGCAAAGCTGGCTCCTGTGGCTGACACAGCGGTGATGTTAATTTCTATTGGACCACGTTTAGGAACTATATAATGAATTATTAATATATTTTAAAAAAAATATATAACTATCATCTTCTAGGAGAATCAGAAGTCAAAGGGGGTAACTACGTCCCCTAGCAGGACCCATGGAAGATTGTTTGACCAGAGGCTGCCCTCATTCTACTATACAAATGGTGATTTTCATCTTGAAAATGTGTGTTTCTTCTTTTTGCTTGAAAATAGAAGTCCACCTACTGCACAGTAATTATGGGCTTGCATCATATCAAATCTTATGGGTGTCAACAACAATTTATTGTGTTCTATTCAATCACTCTCAATTCTTTACCTTTTTCAGGAGTTACAAATTCATGAGTAGTTTCTGGACCAAGTCCTGCATCTGTTTCAGTGCTGATATTGACTCGATATGTTGAATATGGTTCCAATTCTAATAAATTTACTTCAGCATCTTCTGTATTAAAATTTTCATTTCTATAAACTTGTTGACACTGATCCTTTTCAATCAAACTTAAATTAATATGGTAATTTAAAATGTCACAGGTCAAAGGTCGAGGTCTGTCCCACACCAATGTTGATCCCTGGATGGCAATATTTTCTACGCTCTCCGGAACTAATATTAAAAAAATTTTTAAAAATATGATTACAAGAAATACAAATTTATATACTGTATGCATTTTAAATTTACGCATGGTGGGCGAGGTTCAAGAGAACATATATTTCTCAAAAGTAATAATAATGCATACATAAAATAATAAGTAGCCAAGTTAGAGGGGCGAAACCCAGAAAGCAGAGCTTGTGTAGGGCTACCCTGAAAATAAACACACATAAAAACCAAAGCCAAAACAGGACAGGAAACAAACAGGAGACAAGACAGACAACGCAGACAACACAAAGATGCTCAGAAATGCAATTTTTTTTTCTTTTACAATTATGGGACAAAAACAAAATGTAACGAGTTAGTAATGAAGATCGAGAATGGGTAAAAGGAGAAAATTATACATAACTTGATAAGAGATGTTTTTTCAGTCTAGAACAGAAGGTTTTTTAGAGTAGGAATTATAAATGGAGTGAGGGAGATTATTCCATAGCTTAGGACCAGTATATTGAATATTGTGCTGGAAAGAAATGGTTCTATGAAAGAGAATATGAAGATGATTTGAAGAGCAGGTAAAATGACTATGATAATCAAAATTAAAAATTAAGTAATGATTTGAATTGAGGGGGAGAGAGAAATTTACCCATGAAAAAATAAAAGCGCATTGCTGAAGATGATTAATGTCATGAATTTTTATAAGAAAAAGGGAGGAAAATAAATGATCGGTGTGGGCTCGCGGAGGTGCACCTGACATAATTCGAACGGCTTTCTTCTGAAGGAGTAACAGTTTATTAAGATGGGAAGGGTAAGTGTTGGACCAGACCAAGTTGCAATAATTCAGGTAGGGAAGGATCAAAGAACAGTACAAAACCCGGAGAATATTTTGGGGAACAAAAGATGATAACCTGTAAATAATGCCGATACTTTT